TTTTTTTTTTTTTTTTTAAATAATACAAATTAAAATTCACATATTTGGAGGAAATTAATAAAATTAATATTCTGTAGAATTTACGATGATTCACCTTTCGATGTGCCACGACATGATTCAAATTGAATGTGAAGAATAATTTAAATTCACAGGGAATATATTATGAACAAATACACAATGTGGTATTTAAAAATAGTACGTTTAAAAGTTTTCCAAGAATTATTTTACCGAGGAACAAGTTCTAATTGCTTCTTGAAGTTTCGAATTGATTGACATCAAGTTTGAACTTCGTAATGAACATGAATGGAGGAAATGTGACAAACGAGATCACGAGTTTTGTATACAGTTTGTGTAAATAGAGCTCCGTATTTGAAAGAACAGAGAGTAATTGCAAAAAGTAGTAGCGAAACTTCCAACTTTTAATATTGTTACGCAATTGATTTAGCTTGATTCGTGTTCGTTACTGGCTCTATAATAATCTAAAATTCTATATCCGCGAGATGACTCGAAATAGATCTTTCTCAACCACTTGTTTTTATTCAAGCAATCTTAACTTCCACGAGAAAAATTATTTTACAACACAATTTCAGCTCATTACATAGAAAATGATAGAATATTACGTGATAAATTGAAGGTAGCTTTTCAAGCTTTGAAACAAGCTTTTCAAAAAACGTGCTAATAATACGACTTCGACAAAAATAGAATTGAGTTAATCTTTCTACTACTCAAGCATAGAATTTTTGACGCTGAACAAAAGAACGCGTTGGCAGTTTCTCTGTTCAACTTGTCAAAAATGAATGGTGTAACCTGAATTAAACCTTTTTTTCTTTTTTTTTCGTATTCGTTTACGATATTCCGTCCAACATGGGATATGAGTGTTAAAAATAACATTTCAAGAAAATGAAAATAGCAACGCTTGTCTTGGAATATTTGTACGATTTGATAGAATTGATCGTATTCGTGATCGTCGAATGCTGCTATCTGATATACCAGTGCGTTTTTCGCATCATTATCGCACAACTGATGGGCCAGAAATCATTGCAATGGGTAATATCGTTTTCTTATGCGATGACAATACCGTTAGATATCATTCATTTGCTGTAGTGTGCGCGATTTTATTGATCTTCCTCTTTCCTTTTCAGACGCAACGTTCTCTAATCTACTGCTTATCACCTAAAACCTTGCTCGCAATCTGAATAAGGACAAAAACGAGGAAACGTAATGCTATTATGTCGGTACACGGTACGAAGACGGCAAAGGTAAAGCATGAAATAAACGTGACGTAAAGAAAGCAGGAATTTTGCTCTCGTATCTTAAGTTTTCGTTTTTGTCCACGTTCAT